TTTTTTCCAAGCCTACCCCTCCCAATTGAAAACACACTCCTTCCATCTACGAAAAATACCCTCCCAATATATACATACAAATAGCTTTATCCATGTAGGACTTAATGGAAAATCAACCAAACAACCCCTTGATTCAATGTAAGATGTGCAAATATGAAKCCCAAATCATCCTCATAGTCTGGAAAAATAAAGAAAGAAATTTGACCTGCATACAGCATACTCATACAGCATACTCCACCAAAGGCTTCCTTGATTCAATGAGGTTTAAGAAAAGTTGATAAAGACTAACAACTCCAGAAACAAGATTCTCACCATTTTTCTTTATGAAACTAAAAACATAATTAAAACCAAAAGCTTTAAACTAAAGAAATGTACGTAAACTGAATCATCCACAATCAATTGTACCTTGTAATACCTCTGATCCTCTTTGGCCTGTTCTTCCTTTTCATTCAGCTGCTTTTTGACCTATCAATCATGATATCCAATCCATTAAAACCCAAAAAGTAAGATCCAAAATCAAGGATACAAAAAGAGTATAGAATATAAAACCTATAACAAATTATCTACAAGATTACAAAGCACGATATGGATGGAGACACAACCTTTGATGTATGAACTAAGAGTATCAGGTGCAAGTAACTAATTTCAGCACTAGCAGTACAAAATACAACTTTTCTGCATGAAGTACAAATATCATATGCAAGATATAACTTATACCACCTAAAATACAAGTAAGTAAATCATTTAACTTACAAATTTTTATGCATAGCATTTAATTTAAATTTAAGATACAGCTTTAACAACATCAAATACAGATACTGGATGCAACATGCAAGATGGAACTTTACATATATAAAGCACAAATCATTGTAACACGATTACACTGAATTTGATGAATCTTTAGAAAAATGGTGGTAAGAAACAGGACCGCAGACAGATTTTAACATGTRATAACGTCAATCAATAACCCATAACCCAACTCATGATTTAGAACTTAAGACCAGCAAATCAATGAGTTCCAGATATACAAAAAACCAAAAGTGCTTACGTGCAAGAAAGCTCTTCAGCTTTCCTCCATTCATCCATTGCCCTGTGGATCCCATCTTCATTTCTTCTCATGTGAACTACGTGGATCAAAAATCGGATCTATAATTTCTTTTTGGACCAAAGCAGTTACCATGCTAAACACCTGCCAAAACATCTTAACTGAGTGCCATGGCTAGGAAACCTTATACTTCAACAAAATATAGAAACACTTCTAAGAATAAGAAAAAAACAAAGACATTATTTGTAATATTTAAAAAAAAATCAATTTTGGGAGTTGAACATCAAAGAGATCAATGAGTGCTTTTCTTGACAGCAAAACAGAGTGCTCAAAAAGTTAAAAACTAGTTCTTTAGCCACAAATTGATGAAATACCTGAAGCCATCGAAGCACATATGTTGAGTCAGTTATGATCACCAATCGTCCCGTCAAATTTCAAATTTGGGCATTCAAAAATACATCTCTCTCCTAGTGATGGCAAATTGACGCCTATGCTTTTCAGCATCGGAAGATCCTCTAGATGCAGTGTGTTTAAACATGGCAATTCGTAGCCAACTGAATTGCTGTGTGCAAACAGAGTCTGCAACTTCTCACAAGACCTAATCTTGATGGTCTTGACGTTCTCTAGTGGCAAACATGAAGACAGAACATTTTCAAGCATCGGGCAACTTTCCAAAGYAAGAGTTTCAAGATTGATGAAAATGTGACTCTCCTGATTTCCGCTATATAAGCTCTTCAAACGAGTTGCACCAGAGATCCATAACGTCCTCAACTCCTTGGCAAATTCAAAGTTCTCCTCAATTTGCTTCACTTTGGGGCATGCACAAATTTTRAGAGTTTGTAAAGATGGAAATGAGATGCCGATGGTCTTCAGTTCTGRTAGTTCCCATAGATGCAAAGTTTCTAAAAATGGAAGTTCAAGTTCACTGTCAACTTCAGATAACGATACTATCTTGTCACAGTGTTTGATTTGAAGAACTTTGAGGGTCTTCGGCAGCCATGATGATGGAAACACAGTTGAAACCTCTGGACAACTGTCTAGATACAAAGTCTTCAGATTGTTGAAGCTCCCAAACAGCTGTTTCCCATTATATATACTTACTAAACGGCGATTATTTGAAACTCCCAAATTCTCCATAGCAATGCCCAGTTCTCTTTCCTTTTCATCAAAAATGCTGATCATATTGTCACATCTTTCAATCCAACATCCCTTTAACTCATTGAGAACAGAGGCACTTAAACCAGATAGCAAACTCTTGAATTTATTATCAATCAGAAATACCAAGTTGACATGACTGATAATGTTCTCAATACCCTTAGGGGAATGGTTGAATCCACGAATCTGCAGGGACCTGTTGTATTGWGCAAACCGACCAGTTCGAAGGTACACATCTGCAAAGACAAGTTCACGTCTTCGAAGATCTCTCTCTCCAATTTCACCTTCCACCATGACAGGTAATGCACATAAGTGGAATGTTCCTTGTGGTGCGGGACTTCTTTTGAGAATTTGAAGAAATTGAGTGCCACTAAGAAAAAGCGGAGATTTGTCACCGTCAGAAATCCGACAGATGTTCCACTGATCCTGATTCATCTCTTCCAACAAACATCCTACACGGTTGCTTTCAACTCCTTGAATTTTTTTGATATTTGGAAATTCGAGGTAGTCAAGATGACATAGTAGAGATATCTTATGAGGTATTCTCAAAGTAGGTGCTAGTAGATCGTTAACCTCCACATCTGGAACATCTTCCATCATAACACAATCTTTGAGCAGGAGCTTCCGAAGGTTGTTGGAACTGCTAAAGTTTGGTAAAMGCTTAATTGATGATCCTGAYAGATCCAAAACTTCTAGCTTAGTAAGTGGATCAAAAGTTGGCACTGTTTCTAAGCATGTGCAACCAGCAAGAGAGAGATGGGAAAGGTTTTTGAGGTTCAACATGGATGGTAAATGCTCAATCGGGGTGCCAGATAGGTCAAGAAATTGAAGCTTGATCATATCTTTMACGGGTTCAGCCCCGTTCGATGCCAAAGAGGTGATACCAGCAAGATTTAGCACTTCAAGATTCAATAAAGATACATTCAGTTCAAGATTCTGCAAGATGGTGCAGTTCTTCAGTACGAGCTGCCGGAGGTAGCTAGGATTTGAAAGGGTAGGGAGGTACTTGATCTTTGTTTCCGAAAGATCAAGCTTTTGAAGATGGATCATTCTTTCAAAAGAGATATCTGCTATATCTTCTAARGAACCASAGTGTGAGACATCAAGAACCTCCAATTTTATAGCAGATTCTAGAGATGGCAACTCTATCAAGGATGGACAGCGAGAAAGGAACAGTTCACGAAGACCGGATAGTTTGGAAAGGGGTGGCAGAACTTTGATATTAGTTTCTGAAAGATTAAGCACTTGAAGACATGTCATACGGTCAAAGAGATCATCCTCGATATCATTGAGATTCTTTGAACCTGAAAGATCAAGCACCTCAAGGTCTACAAGGGGTTCGATGCATGAGAATTGTTGCAACCGAAGGCAATTCTTAAGATAAAGATGACGAGGATTAGCAATGTTAGTAGGTAGACGATCAAGGGTAGTTCCAGATAGGTTAAGGGTTCGAAGGGAAGTTAGACATTGTAAAGATGGATCATGAAACTCTTCAAACTTGGTAGAACCAGAGAGATCAAGAGTTTGGAGACTTCCTAGTGAAGTTAAGCTCCGTAATCTACCTAGGTTTTTACAGTCACGCAGTAGCAAATGAGTAAGCTTTTCAAGATTTCTGAGCAATGGTGTGGTTGAAACCAAGGTATTGGAAAGATTAAGGATCAGAAGATTCTTAAATTCTAAGAAATTTTTATCCACGTAATCCAGAGAGACATTACCAGAGAGGTCAAGAACCATAAGATGTTTAAGTTTTGCAAGATTTTTGACCCTTGTCAAGTAAGGACAATCCTTAATTACTAGCCACTGTAGTTCAGCAAGACAGTAAATGGATTCAGGCAAAAGAGTGATTTGCAGTTCAGAGAGATGAAGGCTTTGAAGTTTTGGCATGTTATTGAAGAATTCCTGTTTCAATTCATYGAGAGATCTAGCACCAGAAATTTCAAGAACACACAAAGCTTTGAGAGATAGATTCAGCTCTTCCAAAAACACACAATCTCTAAGCACAAGAACACGAAGCCTATCCATCATAGCCAACGGGTTGGGCAATGATCTGATGTTGGGATTGAATAAAGCAAGAACTTGAAGTTCCTTTTCAGATTGAAGGAATCTCATGAGAACATCCTCGCCAAAATGGGTTCCATCAAGCAATAGAGTTGAAAGATTTTGACCACCTYTCTTTAAAGATTGTTTCTGTTCTTGATTCTTCCCATTAACACTTGTCCAAGGTGTTTTTAGCATTCCATCATCATGTGTGATTCTCCCAAAACCTTCTGTATCAGACGTGAACACTGTTGCCAACCCAAGACTAGCGATTTGGTCAAGACATTGGTAGAGATCATCAACTTCTAAAAGTGACTTGTCCATGAACACACGACCACCCTCTTGCTCTTTCAGTAAGCCACAATCCGTAAGCTCCATGACAATATGATGACCCTTTTCATACAACTCAGTCATACTTCCAAAACCAAGATATCCTTCCAAGATCCAGTAAGTTATCAGCTCATTGTAGTGAACACCGCCAGAATCACGAAAAAAATGGTAACCATCCCACCATAAATCTTTCAGAACACCGATTGGCAACACACTGTGCATCCTGCACAATAACTTGTTCACATGATACTCTTCAGATGCTTCTTTTAACTCCTTCTCTAGCATAGAGACTCCGGATGCTTCTAGACCAAAGTAGCTCAAGGCTTTTGCTATCATTATAACTGTACCAGGCAAACCATTACTTTTTTTGATGAAGTTTTCGCCTAGAGTTCGGATCACTGGAGACTGTCTCATTCGAGCATCAAGTTTTTCAATCAATAAAGAATTGGAATCTGCTCTAGGCAAAGCTTCCACCTCAACCTTAAATAAACCTTCATCTTCCCTGCTTGATCTAGAGATGAAAACAATTTGCAGCTTTTCATCATTATCATGAAAAGGAAACATTTCTCTCCATACTAACCAAAACTTTTCTTCATTCACCTTCCTCTTAGTTTCGTCATTCGTTACATCATCTAGTACTAGAAGAATTTTTTTCCCTTCAAGTTTCTTCCTTAACTTTTCAATCAAAGTCTCCGCGATCTCCACCCCACCACTGATCGTTATCCCATTACTATCATCCTCAACCTCCCACTCCTCAATAATGGGAAGTAAGCTTAGCTGGCAAGCGATACTCTCAGAGAGAGACTGMATGTTATAGTCTCTAGATGTAAACACCCAGAGTGYAAAATCAAATGATCTATTCCTAGTACTAAAGTCACTTACCCTCTTTGCCATCCATGTTTTCCCAACTCCTGGAGATCCGAAAAGGTTTACTTTCTTTTCACGTTGTATGGCTTCATATATTYTCTTCAGTTGCTGAATTGAACTTATCCCCTCCATTACAAGTATTCTACAACAGTAATTTCTGAAAACAGCTTAGTTTAGGAGATTTTAAGTMYTAAAACCAGAGGGTTTCAAAGTTGATTACAAGCTCTAGAAAAAAAATGGTATAAGATTAGATTTACAACAAAATCGTTTGGGTTTAGGTGTAAAAAGTACCGAATCGACATTTGCATTGAAAAACGATGAYTATTGACAAATGCACAGCMCAATCGATTACGAGATGAAACAGATGAAGCATGAATAGCATAATACTTAAGAATTTTGAGGGAAAATACCTGAAAGTTGAACTCCGACGATTTGAATCTTTGGTGAAGAAAGTGTTAATGGCTTTTTTGAGGGTAGTTATAGAAGTTCCTGTTGTGATGTCAACGGAAGTCAACGTGCTCTATATCTGTGCCGTTTCGGGGTTGTTAAAATGGAGTTATTACGATTTTTGTCCTTCTACTTTGCTAATAATTATTATTTTCGTCCCTGAAGTTTAGAAATTACAACTTTAGTACTTATAGTTTGTGATTTATGGTTATTTTTATCTTTGTGCTCATTCTAACCTTAAAGTATAAGAGACTAAACAGTAAAGAGTTATAAACTATAGGCGCTAAAACAATAATATATTATAAACGAATTACAAACCATAGAGATGAAAGCGTTAACTTGTAAACCACATGGACTAAAATCACAATTGTTAACAAACCACAGTGATGAAAAATGTAATTTACTCTTTACTTTTTCTAGTACGATACGTAATAATTTTACCCGGTAAACGCTAATTAGATAACAATGACCATCGTTATTTATGGGCAGTACTGGCGGACTTAGGAATTTTTAAGAATGGGACATCTTTAAAGTGGATCAAAGTCTGTAAAGTCGTCCAATGTGTTTTCAACGGAATTCCGTCGAATCGAGTATTTTTTTAAGTTTTTTTTGTTGAATTTAATAGACTTTCTTGGTCTTTTTGTTGATATTCCTTGTATTTTCTAATATCGCAAAACACTGCTCATAATTAATTGAAGGAGTGAACAGGATCCTGCACGGAGATGAATAGGTCCACCCTTGCTTATGACATAAGAACTCAATCCTTAACATATCTCTTACGAAATAATATTATCAGTCGTTGACATGTGGTAAGGTAAAATCTTACTCGATTAACATTTAATAAACCACCCTATGAATTTTTGTAAATAACATTTTTGATTCAGAAAACAAATATACATACATATATATATATATATATACACACACACGTACTATATTATAAAACATATAACAAAAACTCTTAAAAACCATTTTTTATGCATGAAGAACGATTTATTGATGCATATTACTTAAAATTCAATATTACGTAAGTACAACTTATTAAAATTTCATTTTTGTAACAACCCACCACAATTTATTATGTGATAATCTTAAATTTATTATTTTCCTTCATATTTTTACATTTTTATTGTTGCAAGTATTTTTAAAAAACATCTAAAACACCAAGGGGCCTTTTACCAAATGTATACTCGGGTAAGTGAACATCAAGTCATTTTACTTTACCGGATGAATATGGTAATTGGTAAGGATCAAGAATCTTACCGGTGTAAGAGCGAGACAAGGACCAATAGTCTTACCCGGTAAGTGAGGGCGACGACTCTTACCACGGTAAGCGCTTACCGGATAAATTGTTGCATACGATACCGTTTTGGTGGATTTAAAATCTTATCCGGTAAGTAAATGACAGTGTTAAATTTTACCGGTAAACACTTACCGGGTAAGTGTTTAGTAAACGGCCCCTAAGACTTGAACCCTTACCTTACTAAAAAAATATTAAGCTATATGATAATACAAAATACCACTAAGGGGTTGTTTGGCAATTGCTAAATGGTTTGATGTAGAATGATTAAGTAGTCAGAATGATTAATAGGCTCTCATGATATAATGCAAACTGAAATATAATTGTTTGGTAATTGTGTACAATGAAATTAGGGTTCTTAATAGTTAAAGGAGATTTATGATACAAAATCATTCAAATGGTTTTAGAACCATTAAGAGACAGACTTTTTTTTTGCCAAACAAAATTCACATCTTAACGATTCAAAAGTTGCCTCTTAATAGAACTATTAAGAGGTAAACAAACAACCCCTTAAAACAATGATAATTTGATACACATTTATCAAGTTACATGACAATGACTATTTTGATACTTTTTTGTTGGTTTCTAATATTTAATCACAACCACTTTTGAATTATCTTTATGGATATTATATGTTGACTTTCTTTGGAGTTATATACATGGTAATGGCTCCCCTTCATCTTCTTAATAATTGAGGCCTAAATTTGTACATTTAGCCATTCAAGTTCCTTTGATATTATATAGGAAGGGGAGAGAGAATGGATGAGATTAATCACTTTATGCATCAAAAACATTCATTGAAGTTTATCGAAAACTTAGAGGTGATTGTCAGAATTGGTGATGATAACAATGATAAGAAAGGCATCGTCCATTGTCATGGATGTCAAGAACCCATATCGGATGGCTCTGCGTATGGTTGTATCTCATGTCAGTACTTTCTGCATAAGAAATGTGGAGAACTAAGACGTGTTATCAATCACCATATCCATCCGTTGCACCCTCTTATGCTTGTCGACCATGGTGATCTAGAATGGACTTGTGACGTGTGTCGTAAGGAAAGCCTAGTAGGAGGTTTCAGCTACTACTGTATGCAGTGTAACTTTGATGCATGTACAAACTGTGGTGTTGCTATTCCATGCAAGGAGGAAGARYTGATCAGGTTTCAACATGAAGGTCATCCACAACATACTTTAACCCTCCAGTCGAGACCTGCGTCTTTCCTCTGTGACGCTTGTCATTCTAAGGATGAAGACTTACTTTATCTATGTGAAGATTGTGATTTCTGGATCCACAAGACTTGTACTTCCTTGGCGCCTACTATCAATCTACCCTATCACCATAAACATCCTCTCGTTCTCGTCTATTCACTTCCAGACAATTTCTATAGATTTGAATATTTTTGTGAGTTTTGTAACACATACATCCTACGAAATGGTTGGTTGTATCATTGTGCAAATTGTAGATATTTTGCCCACATTAAGTGTGCCTTTAATGCAGAGCAATCATCTATTCCAAGGTCAAACTTTTCCTCTTTTTATTTGTACTTTTTTTCTTTTTGTCAGTGCTTCTTCTAAATTGAATCTGTCATTTCAGTGATCCTCTAGGTACATCTGTTGCTGAAGAACACGTAAATGATGTTCTGCAATTTCCCATGTCATTTGCATTCACAGATCCACTAAAATTACTTCATTTGGAAAAATTATCTCCAGATGATGATGGTGAAGCAGAGATTAACCATTGGAGTCATGATCATCCATTGATCCTTAACGTTGAACCCCGAGGTAACAACATAACCAACATTGGTTGTAGTGATCCAATAGAGGTATGTCATGGGTGTGTACGACCCCTCTCCCTTCCATACTACAGTTGCAAAAATGGATGTTTATTTACTCTCCATAAATATTGTGCTAAGTTACCACTCACATTAGAACATCAACTTCACCCGGATCATTCACTAAACCTGGTCGACACCTATAAAGATGTGAACTACTATACATGCAATGGTTGTTTTTGCAACGGCAACAGATTTGTTTACACGTGTGAAACTTGCAGGTTCTGTCTAGATGTAAATTGTGCATTTTTACCTAACACAATCAAACATATATCTGACAAACATCCTCTTATCCAAGTTATTGATCCCATCACTCGTTGTAAGGCATGTTACAAATTGTTTGATGGTATAAGCTTTGCTTGCAAGTCTTGTAAGTTCCGATTAGACGTGTTTTGTGCTCTATGGTCTCCACGTTTCCTTACTCATAGGTATTGCAAAGGACATGAAATCCCATTGACATATCCCCCAGTCGAAGATCATCCTGAAGATTTTTATTGTGATATTTGCGAGGAGGAAATGCACCCCAAGCGCCCACAATATCACTGTCACAAATGCAAAAATTCCTTTCACCTTAAGTGCATTAATCGAATCGACTGTTATGCAAATGTCAAGGAGGAGGGCACTATCAATGTTTCTTATCACAAACACCCATTAACATTTGTTCGAAGAGAGAGAACGTCCATATATGTGTGTTTTGGCTGTAATCTGGATATTAACGGTCATTTGATTCTTGAGTGTCGGACTGGAACATGTCCCTTTAGAATATGTCAACGATGTCATTTAAAAGAACCCAAATAAATCTCATTTGTCCCATGCCACATTATTGTAGCGTATATGGAAATGACTGTATATATTACTGTTTTCGTACAAGGGTGTGATTTGTTACGTATCTATATAATCAACTTTCATTCCCTTTCTCTTTTCACATCATCTCTTTTTCTATTTTTCATGTTGAAACTTTTTACAGCTATTGAGAATTTTTCTGTTAAAAAGTAAATGAAACTGTATCATTTCTTTTTCTCTAAACTAACTATTAGTTACATGGTTAATGTTACTTATTCTTTCACACTACAACAAAACCAGGGTTATAGGACACTCCCAAATTGTAAGCGTCCTAATAGATCTCTTTATAGGACTTTGTTTATAGGACCAAAAAAATAAAGTGTCTTATCTAATGGTGTTGTATTAAGTTTATATGACGTTTTTTAATGTTGTAAAAAGTTTTTTAGGACATTTTAATATAAAGCGTCTCATTATCAACTTTATAGAACACTATTTGAAAAAATGTTCTATAAAAAATTGAGTTTATAGGACAATTTCTCAAAAGTGTCATATAAAGTTGTTAATGCGACACTTTGTATTAAAAATATTCTTAAAAACTTGTTAAGATGCCCAAAAGCGTCATATAAACTTATTACAACGCCTTTAGATAAAATGTTTTATATTTTGGTTCTATAAATTAAGTCCTATAAAGCTTTCTATTAGAACACTTAAAGATTGGAGGTGTCCTATAAACCCAATTATGTTGTAGTATCAATTGCAAATAAATTAACAAAATTTTATGTGGTAATAAGATTCTATATAGCATCAAAATTCTATTTTCTATATTTGGAAAATAAAAAGACAAGTTATTTGAAGTTATATATCGATTATTTTATAAGAATAAATTATACAAATGAGATTTTGAATATCTATACAACTATATTATAAAGTATTTGGGTAAAATTCTTAAAACCATTTTCACTGCATTAAAAATTGTTTAATAATACATATTACTTAAAATTTAAGATTATAAGTAAATGATGCATGGGTACAACTTGTTAAAGTTATATGTTTGAATTCATATAATTTACTATATTATAAAGCATTTGTGTAAAATTCTTAAAAACCTTTTTTATTGCATCATATATTGTTTAATGTTGCATATTACTTAAAATTCAAGATTATAAGTAAAGTTGCATTTTAATACAACTTTTTAAAGTTATACATATAACTAACTGATAAACATGTTTAAATGCAGGATAAACATTTCATTTTAAATATAAAGAATTTAAAATAAATTAATTCATTATTAAACCTAAAATAAATTAATTCGTTATTAAACCTAAATTAAATTATAGTAAAAAAGATTGAACCGAAAATTATCTTTATAAAAAATATTATATTATTAGACCTAAAATAAATTACTTTGTTATTGACCTATATTAAGTATACTAAAAAATTGGACTAAAAAAATTATTAAAAGAACGAGATATTTTAAATTGTTAATTTGATAATAATATCGATAAAAAATTTATGGGTTTTCAAATTTATATTTTATTTAAATATAAGAATATTATCGTTTGTCAAATCATGCAGAACAATATTACAATTTTTTTTTATTAAAATCAAGATATATCTTGTTGCATTAAATAAATAGGCTTTTAGTATTATTAAAATACGTTCTCCGTATATGAGAAATAAGATTGCAGGACTTTCAAACTATTTTACATATCGAATATTTTAAACGGAGTGATAAAGAAATTTGAAAACGAATATAAATTTTAAAAAAATGTTTTTTGGCAGCCGGCCACTTTGTAATTAATCACAAAGTATTCTAAATCATAGCGATCATCCTATAAATTAAAGTATCTATGTTATATTATAAAATATTTGACAAAAAAAATTAAAAACCATTTTTTATGCATAAAGTACTGTATATTGATGCATATTACTTAAAATTCAAGATTACAAATAAATTATGTATAAGTACAACTTATTAAAGATCCATGTTTGAATTCGTGTAACTAACTGCGGATAAACATAATCAAATAGAAAATAAACATCTCATTTTAAAATATAAAAAATATAAAATATAATTATCGATTTATAACAAAATAATTAATTATTATTTTTATAAGAAAA